GGTGGGGGGGGGGTTCCTGAAGCCCAAAAAAACCCTCTGGATCCGCCACTGTGTTCTGTTACCTTGGAGCCAAACCCATTCTTGACAGCCTAACAGTCGCTGTAATACTGTGTAACACGCATTGTGAAATTGTATAATCTTGATTATTGTGATGAGAAATTACAGATATATACACAGTGTACATTATCGCATACACGCCTTCCGTATTTTTGTCATTCCGTAATTTTGATCTACAAATGATACCAAATCGCACAGTTGTGCGGAGAGAAGCGCACCATGTACGGACGGTGTGTTAACGGTGTGCGCACGTTATTTTTGGTGCGTTGTGCGGTCCCACAACTGTACAATCACTAAATGAAGGTTATACAAAATCTAAATTATCAGCCTCACGACAGCAGGGCGCAATAACACTCATATATAAAAAAGGAAACCCAGAATTACTAGAAAACCGGAGACCGATCACACTATTAACTTTTGATTATAAAATAGCAGCATATGTATTGGCAAAACGTCTTCAAAAAGTATTACCATCCATCATTAGCTTGGATCAACAAGGTTACTTAACAAATAGATATATCGGTTATAACATTCGTCGAACACAAGATATCATTGATTATGCAGACCAATTAAATATAGAGGGGGCAATCCTTTTCCTAGATTTCAAAAAAGCTTTCGACACATGTGAGTGGTTAAAACTTTAAAAACATTTGGATTTAATAACTCTTTCATCTCATGGATAAACACTTTGTATTCAAATAGTTCTAGTTATATGTTAAACAATGGGTGGAAATCTAAAAAGAAATAAAATAGAAAGAGGCATAAGGCAGGGTTGTCCGGCCTCGGCTTTAATTTTTGTAGCCGTAGTTGAAATCCTAGCCCTTAATATCCGCAATAACAACAATTTAAGAGGGATAAAAGTAAAGGGGTTTTTGAAAGAACAAAAAAAATAAGCCAGTTAGCAGATGACACCACCCTGTTTATAAGTTCATCACACCACATACCAATAGCGTTGCAAATAGTATTAGAATTTGGGGAGGTATTGGGTTTCAAATTAAATAGAAACAAAACTGATGGTCTTTGGATTGGAAAACTGAAAAACTCTACAAGAAAGATAGGAGGAATAAACTGGCCAGAAGTACTAATAAAGTCACTAGGGGTATATTTCAGTAATACAAAAATGAATGTGAAAAGCTTAACTGGGATGAAAAAATTACAAATACAAAAATATGTCTTAATATGTGGAAAATTACCCAAATTTACATACCTTGCACAATCTTTGATAATTCCCAAAAAAGTAATAATATAACTGGAGAAAATTATATACAACTTCTTATGGTCTGGGAAAAGAGAAAACATTAAACGAAAAACCCTAATTGGACAAGTGGTATCTGGAGGGATAAACTTTCCAGACTTGGAAGCATATTTTACAAATCTAAAAATAAAGTGGGTCAAACACTAATAAAAGAAAACACTCCTGCGGACTGGAAAATCGTACGATTTCACATTTGTCGTAAACCTCCGATCATCTTGCAATTTACGAGTGGGGTCATTTTAAGTACATTCTAATATAACGGGCAACATAAGGTTAAACAAAGTGACCATCACGTTTAGCAATACTCAGACTACCATTGACTAATATATGTTCAACGAGAAACCAATCTACTGTAAAATCATAAATATTTCGTGGATAACAAAAATCCACGAAATTAAATCCCTACGAAACATTAACTTGATATGCTATAGATACAGGAAAATCAGAAATCAGCGAAATATGATGTCCTTGAAACGGGCTAGTATATGAAAACCATGAAATTGAAACCCCACNCTGTTGTTGCGTTATTCCGTCTTTGCGTATTGCAGAGTTATCTTCTCTTGGGAGCAGGTATTGATTGTTACGTCATCAATTTTTGAGAAAACGACGTAATTTTCTCACACAAACCAATGACGTAACAATCAATACCTGCTCCCAAGAGAAGATAACTCTGCAATACGCAAAGACGGAATAACGCAACAACAGAGTTCTTCAAGACCTTCGACAAGTGACAGAATGTTAGCACCATAGCACGTCTACAAAATACTGATACGGTACATGCGTTTTGTGATATAAAAGCGTCTAACAACGTATTTTCGCTCTTTTTCTTGTAAATGTCGGAGTGAGTGACGCTTTGTGATGTTTTTCATGTATATAGTGAAATGTCTACATCAGTGAATAATCTACAAATATTTTCTCTGTTTGTGCCTATATATTGTACTCTAGATTTGGACTGACGGGTCGCAAAACCCAAGGTGATAAAGACTTATTATGTCGTGTGCTGACCCACAATAGGAAAGATCAAGGTTTTAATTTTATAATCGTTCTCTTTTTAAATCTTGAAGTCATTTTATCATTTATTCGATCGCCATTAGCTCGAAAATGAAGTGATACAAAAAATTGACTAGGGAATTGGGTTACACAGCTTTCCAATAAATGTTGTTTTGTAAACATATTTGACCTTTATTTGGTCGAATCTTGATAAGAGTAGCAGGTGAGGTTGATTAGATAGACGTAGATGTTGCATATCTATGTAATAACACTTTTCTAGCGGTAAACATGTTAACAGGTGTAAGAAACATTACCTTTTTATCAGCAAAACCTCGCACAGGTCAGGACATATAAATGTATCACATACATACTAATGAGCTCGTGAGATGGACAATGATAGTTTCTGGATATTTTTCCTTTTGACCCTTTAAACTGATCGCAGTGTGGACACTTTCGCAGTGGCAAAAGTTCTGAAATATATATATCCTATTTATCTATAATCTATATAATCTAAACATAAATATTTGCATGTGTACATTTTTACACAATGAAAACAAAATAAATCGAATATTTAAACATCGCAAAAATTTCCACTTTTAAAGTATGTAAAATCAACAATTATAACAAACACGTGAATAAAACCGGATAATCAAAATATTCCGTCAAAAGATTTGGTAAGCCTGCGTCATCTTTGCAATAAAAAAAGAAGAATGCATGAATCATTTTATCAATTTTAAATTGTGTCCGATATGTGTATAAAATCTTGTTATAATGGATTTTACTGGCATTATTTATCTAGGAAGTTTAATGCTGTCTCACGTGACGGTCATTTGACTTTAGTGATTCGGATATAGCGGTGTAGTTATGAAGGACCACCAGAAAGCATAAGAAAAATATATGTATATAAAATTTTGTATTAAAAGGTTCAAAAGCAACATTAACTTGAATACTCAGCTCCGGATCAAAATAAGACTATCGTTGGTGTTAAGTATACAAAAGCTGAAAAGTATTATACAAATATATAGTCAGCAATGATGCTGTTAATACATTATTTATTTGTCTACAACAGATAACTGAACTAAATGCATCTAGCAAGTACAAGGGCCTAATTCAATAATGTTATTGTCCAGGTTATGACCTGTCACATCTTTAAACGTGGACACCGTCCTTTTATGACCTTAGCTGTTGCTAGGACGATAACTTAAGTAGGCATACAGGATCGACATAACACTCGAAGCGTTCCATTTAGCCTCACAATCGTTTATAAATCTTGGCGATATATGATCACATCAGTAAGTGGTTTCGTACTCACTTTTTAGTATACGTTTAAAGTTAGCTATACAGAAGGGCGTCAACAACACTGAGATAAGAACGGGTGACCTAGATTTAAGATTTATCGCAATGTGTCCGGTAAGGTCCGGTAGTGCATCGTTTATGAATTTATTTTATTTCATACCTAAAATTTGTGTTTGTTGCATTCAAGATGTATCAATGATTTGTTTACATTTTAGTTGTTAGCCTGTTAACTAGTTTATTTTATAACCGTGCTTGACATTTAGTTTGTAAATAGGTCGTCGAGTTTAAATATTAAAAGTGCCGAAGCATATCATTAAACCTTCAGTAGGTATAAACACCCAAGGCGTACACATAAATTTGTCAGACATTTGTTGAGATCAACAGGCTGTTACATTTAACTGGATACAGGGAAACTGGTGAGCATTATGTTATTACAATTAATGCATGCATGTTTTTTAAACGTTGATGTCTTTTATATTTGCTGTAATTGCATAAGTACATACATCATTTATCTTAAACAAAATTTAACCTCGAACAGCAATAACGGGTATAACAAGAACATTTGTTGATACAAGATAAAACTTCACATTTGCTTCAGTTGTAAAGTGATGGTTTATGCCATCCTGGATATCCAGGGGTCACTTTCGCTCTCTGCACCCCTGGAATCCTCCTCGATATCCAGGGGTTACGCTTTGTGTCATAGCAAAATTGAAGGCACGAAGAAAGCTGTTTGATTGGTCGCAGGTAGAAACAACTGACCAATCGCTAGGCTGACACTAGTCCGAATTATTCTGACGTTTTATTGACTTTTTTAATATCGGTCTGTCGTCGATTAACGTTAGAACTCCGGCCCTCTATAATATGCGGGAAATATGCGACCCGCGCCCGGAGCGCACTTCAAACTGATATTTTAGAAACAAATCGTCACTTTCACACACTTGTCGCACATGGATCGAAAGATCTGTTCTTTATGTACAAGATGAACATACATAGCATGCCTCAAACAATCAAAACAATCCCTAAAAACATATTTATTTTTGCAAACTTACTCTGTTTTACTCTAGTTTTTTGGTAGCCCCGCCTTCTAATGTCACATGACTAAAATATCGCCGGCCTACGTCATAATGTTGGGAAATACCTTCGGTAACGCGAGATCTCGTAAAGTCATGTGACATTGCTCATGGCTTAATTTCCATTAAAAAAATGGGTTGGTATAGAAAACGTTGGAAAATACTTTTCGTAATGTTTTTTGAAACATGTTATTGATACCGCCTAGTGCAAAAAGAATAGATCTTTTGATCCATGTGCGACATGTGTGTGAAAGTGACGATTTGTTTCTAAAATACGAGTTTGAAGTGCGCTCAGGGCGCAGGTCGCATATTTCCCGCATATTATAGAGGGCCGGAGTTCTAACGTTAATCGACAGACCGATATTAAAAAAGTCGATAAAACGTCAGAATAATTCGGACTGGGCTGACACCTGTCCTTTGAAGATTACAAAGGAGAAACGCCCGAGTTCAAAGCCTGTCAATTTTTACCGTTACGTGACCGCGAGATTCTTTTGATGTACACCAATTAGGCAAAGGATTGAACTAGTCTTCTTGTCACATCAACAAGGTGGCGCACACCGAGCCTTTAACTTTGTTATGACATATTCCAGGGATGCAGAGAGCGGAAGTGACAAACGATTGCACCTTTAACCCTTTCACCACCGTAGACTATAATTGACTCATCCAAATGAATGTATGAACGAGTCTACTGTAGTTACCTAGGGGTGAAAGGGTAAAAATTTGGTAATTGATACGGCATATCAAACATGAGTTACACTGCACCATAATCTGTTCTGTCCTTCTGGAACTCATCGGTGATGAGTAAAGTGGGTTCGTTAGGAGGTCAGCTTGTAAACTCAACATTGCAAGTCAAATAATACCTCGAGTGACCAATGTTGTGTCACCCTGGTAAATCACTAGCTGTTTCCTACCAACTCGGGTAGGGAGAATTTCTCTTAAGCTCATTCGGTAGAGCGTAAGACTAATAAGCCAGAGGTCCCTGGTTCGACTCCTGGTGGGGACATTGAACAAATGATGACCTCTGTTACGACTGTCAGTTGTTATAAACAGTAGTATATTTATTAATAGAATTGAGGGTTCCAAATGGACCCTATATACTATCATATGTTTTTATCTAGATCACCCAATAGGCCTCAATGAATAAGCTAAGAAGCTTTAATGCGAGGCACAAAATTTGTAAGTATTTCTGAAGTTATATAGTAATAACTCCAAATTTATGTGTTATTTAGGCGTTGAGTAAGGTCGTGCATAAAATCCTTTTATTTTTATAAATAATTCCGTTTTAAAAGTGCACAAAACATTCATGATTCAGCCAAGCTTGTTTTTATATCCAGGAATGGAGATCGTTGGGATACCACTGGGGGATATTGTGTTGGAAAATAAAGTGTTTGAGGGTGTCAATTTCCCTATCCTGTGTCCCGGAAATGTTGCAGACCATCTTGAGAAGATAAGAAATCTGAAATATCACCCGGATGATGTTTATATCATGTCCTTTCCTAGAAGTGGTAAGATTATCTATTATTACAGTAACAGATAGATATAATTCTGTATGTTCAACCACGATTTATGTCATCATTTATCGATGTTTCCTGTCTCCATGTCTTGAACGTCGAATAAGACATTTTTTTTTTTTTATATGATTACCTCTATCTAATCGATATACCCAAAATCTAGATAAATATAGATCGGCTTTGAAAATATGTTTGGAATTCCTGGCAGTCAAGCATATCTTGAAAGTAAGCCATCTTTGAAAACAGGACGGTCTTTAAACCATCCATTGGATTCCTTGCAATCAATTTTCTCTCCGCAAGAAGCCGCCTATGTATTTCATTTGTCATATTGACACATACATGATACAGAATGGTAAAGTAGTGCTACGGTTATTTGTGGGTTTGAAATCTTCACAGGTAGCATCAAACCCTTTAAAATGCTTCAAAAGTAAGACGGCATTAACAATAAGCCGAATATGTCTCAGTTCAAATGGCTTCGATAATAAGACGGTCTAAACAACATGTCGTCTTCGTTAGTGAGCCTTGGAATTTATACTAGAAACAAAAATAAGCAGTGACTGATTTTCTAGAGTTTAGTGTATATCGGAAAACCCTTTATAACATCCTCAAACCCCTAAATATCAACAGATGTGCTGGGGAGAAAATGATGGAGTGTCGTTCCTGCCTATAATTTGATATCATTTTAGCATTTATCTTTGAGCAAGATACTTTACTCCGCTTATTCCAGTCTACTCAGCTGTAAATGAGTACGTGGTTGAATTGGGCAGTGCTATAATTGTTGGGTGCGAAGGCCCTATAACCACGGATAATAATTTGTGAACCACTTTGAGACGACCTACGAACTCGGTTGTGATAAAGCGGTATATAAGAACCTCGAATTATTATTAGTACTGTTTATTAATTGGACAGGGTGTCGGCGTTTAGTTTTCATTTGGTAGTTTCCGTATATAAATGCGAAGACTGCTGTATGTTAGATTGCCATGTATCGTATATTTTCACAAGAGTCAGATGACACTGGTTCTACGGTAAAGGTCAGTAATTGCTTTGAGTTGGCTAGTATAGTCAATGTTGACGAAAACTGGATTTCAAACAAATTACCTTTCTATTTGCAACCCGACACCAGCTGGCCAACCCACCTTTGCCCTAGTGAGTTTGACAGGGGTTGAATATAAAAGGTGGATATTATATTTCGTACTTTATGTTTGCTCATCCGTAACGACCTTGTACGTGATATTTACCTATCTCTGTCAGGTCTCTTTAACATACTATCGAAGTAAATCTTTGAAAAAAAATATGCCTCGGCTCTTTGAAGACGTGAATCAAGATTTTTCGTTATTGCTCTGAAGGTAGATATGAGATCATTGAAAAGATCATACGGGTTTACATTTATTAGTGAGGAGATTTTATTATCAACATTTCCCCAAGATCACCTACATTTTTCTACTTCACTAACCAAAGCAAACAATTTACGAAACATCATACTTCTTCAATTGTATAGAAATGATAGATGTCGATTGCTGACGGACAAATTATAACTCGGGTTTCCCAAAGATGCAGTATGGTCGCCATCACGATCCATACGGAAATATGCTATTTTGTTGTTTCGTAAAAAGGTCTTTGTGTTTTTTATTATCCCAATAAGTGTGGCCTGTGGTCTTGTTGTCACTGCCTATGTTAGCAGCATATGACCCTTACCCTCCGGAGCGTCTGGTCGTATTCTCCGCGTACGTGTTCAGGTGTATTCATGTTAATATCTTCTTTGATCCTAGTTTGCCCTCTTTATTTCGATTTGAGTTCGAATTAAAGTTTTAATTAGACTTTGCTTTCCTTTTTTTTGTCGTTAGTCCTTATGAGTTGTTATATATAGGATTGAAGAAATCATACATAATGAATACGTGTCTGTTACCAACATTTTGTTCACAAATTTTCATATGAACATGTACATGTTATATGTATCAGATATATACAAATCAAAAACAAAATTTTCTACTGAGTTTTGTTAAGTTTTACATGGATATATATTCTTGTTTCTTTTGTCACGTGCTTTTTTTTATATACATTTTAAGGATTTTACAATCATGGGAAAACTTTTTTTTTGTATGTTATTTCATGTTTTAGTAGGAAGGGGGTTGTTCTCAAAAAAAATGTGTGATGTCCTTTTGCTGTTGGTTTGACCACCATCACCTCCGATTGGTCATTTAAGACCATGTTCAGTTTCATGTTTGCTTCGCAATGTTGCGAGACTATGCGTGAGGTTTGGTACTTCACTGTAATCACACACTTTTATAATAGATGAGATTAAACAATGATCTTTTACTGTTTTACTGTTGTAACAGAGTTACTATTACGTATTTCCTTTGGCTTTGGTACAATATCCCCGTGACACGAAAGTGATTTAAAGGTCAAGGTCAAGGCCAATATAGGCTACTTTTGGTATCGAGCTTTTACAAGATTCTTTGTCCAATGTACACAAATCACAGATATACTCGGTGATGTATTTTTAAAGTTCGTTAGCCAGCGGGTTTCTAGGGGACAATAAACAAGTTAAAACGTTAACTTTCAGCATAGACTTTTATGGATATTTGGTTTAAACAATCTTCTTCTCCAGTTTTACATTTTTTTAATGGAAATTTAAGAAGCAGCATCACCCCCGTAACAACATTTTAATTTTCTGCTTTTTACAGGGACACATTGGGTGAGAGAAATCGTCGCCATGTTACTAAAAGGCAAAGCAGAATGTATTGCTAAAGATGACATAGATTTTCCTTTAGAATTGCTGGGTATCGATACTATTGAGAAGGAAGCATCCCCAAGAGTATTCTATTCTCACATGCCATTTCGGTATTTGCCGCAGGACCATTTGGCACAACATGGAAAAGTGATTGGATGTTTTCGTAATCCGAAAGATGTTGTGACGTCATCATATCATTTTTTAAATAACATTTTAACTTTTGACGTCAACTGGAATACCTACTTCGACGTCATTTTGGAAGGAAACGGTAAGTTGTAAGCATTTACAAAAAGCTGAAAAATATGGGAACTAAACCAAACAAGCAAACGACTCAGGAAATCTATATTGAAATTTAAACAAATTAGCAAAAAATAAAACACAAATATATACAAAATTGGCAAAACTTAAAGAAAATATTATTTGATCGAAATTTACACTGATAAGGCAACAATACAATAACGACATACATGTTCAACCTCCACCATACCCCGAAAAAACCATAAAACGAGGAAGCGCCATGTATTTGTTCATGAATACATGTATTTCAACAACAATTCAAGTAATGAAGAACCACCATTTACCATGGAGGCACGGTAGTCTAGTGGTAGGTCGCCTGGCTCGTGACCGAAGGGTTGCGAGTTCGAGTCACGGCAATGCACTGTGATGTATCTTTCAGCAAGATACTTTACTCAGCTTGTTCCAGTCTACTCAGCTGTAAATGAGTACGTGGTTGGGCAGTGCTAGAATTGTAAGATGCTAGCTGTGAGCGCCGAAATGGAAGTTGAGAACCTCGGATATTGGCTGGTTGCAAAGCCCCTATAACCACGGATAATAATTTGTGAACCGCTTCGAGACGACCTATATAAAAACCTCGAATTATTATTATTTTTGTTATGGTAAACACTTAATTCTAATGATAATTAATGAGATATGAAGACCAACGTTAAATTATCGCAACGAAGATGAAAATATTTTGAATATTAGGTATAATATCTTCTCTTGGGAGCAGGTATTAATTGTTACATGTACGTCACTTGTTTGTGAGAATAACGTCATCAATTTTTGAGAAAACGACGTAATTTTCTCGCACAAACCAATGACGTAACAATCAATACCTGCTCCCAAGAGAAGATAACTCTGCAATACGCTAAGACGGATATTCATACACATACAAGAAATCAGAGAACCTTTTCAGTTTAAAAAATACGATATAGCTGTGTTCAGATAGCTGTGTTAAGAATTTAGATAAAATACCGCGGGTATATATATGCAACCTTTATGTGCATAAAGATCGCGGCTACATCTATAATACATATATATCTTAAAGTTTAATGAAAAGTATTGTTTCGAGAATTTATGCATGGATTTAACGATTTTTAGCTCACCTGGCCCGAAGGGCCAAGTGAGCTTATCCCATGGTGCAGCGTCCGTCGTCCGTCGTCCGGTGTCCGTCAACTTTTTCCTTTAAAATGCTACTTGTCCTGAATGGCTCAGAGGATTTTGACCAAATTTGGTCAGGAGCATCATTGGCCAAAGGTTCTCAGTTTTGTATAAACGGAGGGTATAACCCCCCTGGGGGCAGAGGGGCGGGGCCGAATAGGGGGAAAATAGGTAAATCTTTAAAAATCTTCTTCTTCTCAACCAATAGAAGGATTTCGACCAAATTTGTCCTAGAGCATCTTTGGACAAAGAAGACTCAAGTTTGCATAAACAGAGGGTGTGGCCCCTCTGGGGGTGGAGGGGCGGGGCCCAATAGGGGAAATAGAGGATTTTTTTTCTCCTGCTATACAAGTGAAGGGATTTTAACCAAATGCAGTCTGAAGCATGATTAGGGACAAAAGAATCAATTTTGTATAAACTGAGGTGTGTGGGCCTCCTTCTAAGGGCAGATGGGTGGGGCCCATTAGGGGAAATAGAGGAAAACATCAAATATCCTTCTCCTTTTGTACCGATGAAGGGATTTTGACCAAATTTGGTCTGGAGCATCATTGGCCAAAGGGTTCTCAGTTTTGTATGAACGGAGGGTATGGTCCCCCTGGGGGCAGAGGGACGGGGCCAAATAGGGGAAAATAGGTAAATCTTTAAAAATCTTCTCCTCAACCAATTGAAGGATTTTGACCAAATTTGTCCTAGAGCATCTTTGGACAAAGGAGACTCAAGTTTGTATAAACGGAGGGTGTGGGCCTTCTGGCGGCATAGGAGCGGGGCCCAATAGGGGAAATAGAGGATTTTTTTTCTCCTACTATACAAGTGAAGGGATTTAAACCAAATGCAGTCTGAAGCATGCTTAGGGAGAAAAGAATCAATTTTGTTTAAACTGAGGTGTGTGGATTCCCCTTCTTTGGGGCAGATTAGTGGGGCCCATTAGGGGAAATAGAGGAAAACATTAAAGATCCTTCTCCTTCTGTACCGTTGAAGGGATTTTAACCTAACCAAACTTGTTTTAGAGAATCTTTGGGCAAAGGGAATTGAATATTTATAAATGGAAGATGCAACTTTGTTACTTGTACTCCTTTGATAAACCTGAATGGTACTCAGCAGGTTTTAAATTGAAAAATAAAATACCAGGTGAGCTATTAAGGCCCCTGGGCCTCTTGTTTTTTTTTTTAATGTTCGTCAAACTAAAAGATGATATTATCCTCGCATTCTTGTAAAAGCAAAGCCACCAATTAAAAAGTTGTAGAAACAGAGCTGCACCACAATTTAAATGTATATAAATTGCGTTTTAATACAGAATTTACTAATCAATGTGGCATTTGAATAAGAGTGTTTATGAAAATAATAGGTCACAAACAGGATGGCATAAACATATCTCACATTTCTAATTTTATTCTTATCATTATTTCCACCTTTTCGGCATTCGACAGATGTCATTGAAATTATGAATATCTTTCAATTTGGAGCTCTTGATATCTAATAGGCTATAACATTGTGACATACCAAATTATATTTTTAATATTGTTATTTTCCTGATATTTCCGTTTTAAGGTACCTACGGATGCTGGTTTGACTGGCGAGACCAATGGAAGACAACACTGGACCAACATGCAGATAGCCCTCCTCTTACTATTTCATTCGAGGACACCAGCAGGGTAAATATGTCCTCCAGTCCTATAATAATTCGAGGTGATTGTATACCGCTTTATCACAACCTAGAACGTAGGTCGTCGTCTCAAAGCGGTTCACAAATTATTATCCGTGGTTATAGGGCCTTTTCAACCAGCCAGTGCTGCCATTTCGACACGGATAGCTAGCATTCTACAGTTCTAGCACTGTCCAACCACATACTCATTTATATCTGAGTAGACTGGAACAAGCAGAGTAAAGTCTCTTGCTCAAAGACACAACACAGTGCCGTGACGTGACTGGAACCCGCAACCCTTCGGTAACGAGCCCGGCGTCCTACCACTAGACTACCCTGCCTCCTATATGCAGGTTCGGGGAAAGAATAGGCCTGGTGTATCCAAGTGCATGTCGCACGAGGCGACTAACGTGGGCCCCATGAAATCCTCGATACTCTAGGGTTTACCTTCACTTTCGCTCTGTACACCTCTGGAATATTTCATAACAAAATTGAAGGCACGCTGTTAGCTACTTGATTAGTATCAGGTAACAAAACCTTAACCAAACATTCGGCTGGAACCTGTCCTTTGCAGATTACAAAGGAGCGACGCCCGACTTCAAAGCCTGTCAATTTTACCGTTACGCGACCGCGAGATTATTTTGATTTACATCAAAGGATCAAATTAATCTGATTGTCTCCTCTACTAGGTGACGACCATTGAGCCTTCGATTTTGCTATGACAAATTCCAGGGGTGCAGAGAGAAAAATTGAGCGCTACAACCGAAGTATGGAAGATGACCCCATGCAGGATCAGGGTAATTTTAGAGTAATTTTACAAATTATATAGGGCGCTATATAAATGCTGTATATTATTATTATTATTATTCCGTGCCCTCTGTTCAGTGAAAAATAAAGAAAACTTAAATTAACCCTACCTATCTACTGAATTCGTTCACATAGATTCTAAAATTCGATATATTTTGTAATAGAATGTAGTTAACCGAGAAAAAGATGAGAACGACACCATTTCAAATGTAAATGTGTGTATGTAGAAGCTAATAACAAGATTGTTTTTTTAAAATATCTTTCTAAATTATTTTTATGTATTCCTGTTAAACTTGTATTTGTTAACATGGTCACTTACAGAGGACCGCGATGATAAATACGCCTTCAAGTTGGTTGGAAGACGTATCTACGTTACTATTTGGTGATTTGAGAACTGTATAAGATAGTAGTAAATAGATGATAAACAGTTTACCACAGTGTTTTCAAGGTCGAACAACCTTTCTTTTGTCACGAGCACGTTGATTAACCGAGGGGTCATCGCAGGTGGAATCCTGCATTTATCCACGTGCTCGCGTTAGACTCTCGATTTTATCCACGTACTCGCGATGAGAAACTTGTTCTCATGACAAACCATGAAAACACAATGTCATGTAATCACTGTTACAGAACTTACCAGGACAAGTTCGCAGAATCGCCGAATACCTAGGCGTGACCCATACCGACACCCTGATTGAAGACATTGCGCATGCGTGTGAATTCAAGAACATGAGAGATGCAAAGTCCAAGAAAAAGGCCAATATGATGGAGAGAATTGAGGAAGGCATTCAACAATCCGATCGCATTGTATTAAAAGATGTCAAAGAGAACATTAGTGAAAACAGTGTTATTCGAAAAGGTAATCATCAACCTAATGTTTGAAGTAAAGTAAAACCTTGTTTACTGCCACCATTTGTCCAGATAAATGTTGACGCTATGAAGGGATTGGCGATAAATCCAGGGAAAGTGTAAGGAAATTCTAAAGAAAAAAGATAAAGGGATATTGAAATAAGTTGGCGGTAAACCAGGTGGCAAATGAAACGATGGGCATTTTATTGAGATAAGAAGCCCAAATTCAGAGTTTAGAAAATCAGTGCAACAGCAAAACACAATAGTTTCTTTACACTTAACCTTTTTCATCTATTTTATCTTTCTATGACTCATCAGTCGGGCTAACGTCAAGTGAAAGAAATCCCATACCTAAAGTGTTTTGAAATATGTTCATGGTACTAGAAAAGGAAGAAAGTGCATTGCACGATACTGTGCCCTATAGTTATCATGGTGTCTTTCCTTTTGTCTGTCCGTCCTTCCCATTTGGACATCATCTCAGAGTCCGAAAGACTTTTTTTGAATGACGAGTATAGGCCACATATGTGATGGCACCTTTAGAATTTGGTAAAAGATCAAGTATGCCGAAAACAAATTACACGCCATAGACCAGTTTCGTCCATCTTGTTCTGTCAAGAACATAGCAGACCCTTTGCAGATATGTCAGTGTTCTTGTCTAAAAACTATAACCACATTCAAAATAATATTGTGTTATGCTTTAAAATGACAGAATGAACAATTTTGAAGGTTCAAGGTGACGCCATATTAGCTCAGTCCGAACATTGTCTTCGCTATTTTAATATGATTTATATGACATGTAGAAAATAGTAATTTAGATGACATGAATTCATATTTTTTTAATGTCTTTTTTTTTTTATTACAAACTAATGTAGTTCGATTACATTTCACAGAATGAACTATTAATGTGGTATATTTATAACCATGTGAAATTCAAATGATTGAGTTGCAGAAATAATAAATTACAGATTATGAAATATAGTTTTGGTTTTTAGATATAATATATTCAAAACTTCTATATTAATTTGAAACATGCCATGAACTTGACAAAAACTGTGTTACAATATTTTCAAATTTTTAATTTTAATTCGGTTATATTTCAAAGACGAATTGTATAATCGTCATATGTTCATGAAAATAAAAATAATTTGATACGTTGTATACATTGATATCAAATAGTCAAATTGTCTGGATTGTAACACAACTATTAATCATTTCAGGGATAGTTGGAGACTGGAAAAGTCTGTTTACGCCCGAGCAGACTGACAGATTCAACACGCTTTACAGACAGAGAGCACTACCATCTCATCCGTTAGAATTTAAAGAATATTTGGAGACCTAATCAACCTACTGAAAATACTCTCATTGTTATTTATTTTTTACTAAGAAACCTTTTTGTTGTCAGTGAACTTTTTTGGTTCACAACTATGTTTTCTTTGCATTGTATATTCATTATATTTCATTTATTCAAGACAAAAATGAAGAAAATATATATTCTTTTATATTCCTTCATTCTATTTTCAAAATTATCTCCAAACATAATCCCATATTTAATATTTTGATATGTTTTGTATTAAATTTAATGTGGGCCCACTGTTTTTTTTTTTATTTGTAAGCATTATAATTTTGCTGTTAAAGTCAGTATTCCTTCTTTGCGTATTACAGGGTTATCTTCTCTTGTGAGCAGGTATTGATTGTTACGTCATTGGTTTGTGTGTGAGAAAATTACGTCGTTTTCTCAAAAATTGATGATGTTACGCTCACAAACAAATGACATAATCATCAATACCTGCTCACAAGAGCAGATAACTCTGCAATACGAAAAGACGAAATACAGCTTACGAGGTATAAAGGAAGCAATTGTAATGGTTATGTTACACGTAAAAAGTCTATTTCAATGGCTTTAAAGCTGTACCAGGGCAATGCAGTTTCTATAAATGGATACCAGACAAAACTATGTTTAGCCTGATTTACTCTATCCTGGGCGGGTATGTTAGTACACGTACACCTGAATAACTGTTGATAGCTGACTACCCAAGTGAAATTGTAGATGAATGCTTGTTTGATACAATTAACTTGATAACAGAATCAAAGTATTTCCATCCTTATTGATTAAGCGGATGGCATTAATAAAAAGTTAAAATATTCTTTAATCCTGCGAACCTTCTCTAACTCTAACTATGGTAAAATATTTCCAAAAGTCATTGGGAATCCATTTTTTTCCAAAATAAAGTCGAAATCTATTTTTTTTCTACAAAGGAATAATGATATACAGATAAATGTACTTATCAGTGAAATCCGTCGAAAATAAGTACTGGTTTGTAGATAGTTTGATCTCGGAAAAATGACCTTTGTTCATTTATTAATTGTTTGAATGCTGGGATTATATGTATTTATTTGGTCCGTTGAAAAAAGGGGTCGTTAACGGTTGACAATTTAATAAAGTTAAGAGAAGTTTCCTCAGCTTTAAATCCTTAACTTCCTATGAAAAACTAAAGTTAAGGATTTTTTATTCGCGTAAATGTCTCTTTTTCAATGAACAGCAGGTTACTTAATTTCGAAAATGCAATAAACTTATCAATTTTATGAGCTATTGAGAAATGAAACCACCTGTTCAAATTTATTTGTTTGGTGTTTTTTTTAAATAAAATTTATGCAGAATATTTCTGTTCATATACTCTAAAGACGATCATTTTGATTCCCAGAAATGAATAGTTTGATTTTGGTTTTAATCCTTATCAATGATCATTTTTAAAACAGTGTATCGTTAACCTAATGAAAGATGAACATAGGACACAGACGTGATTGCACCTAGACAATTAGTAACCTATATACAACTGAATTTTCACCTTATTTCTAAACATTTTCTTCAGGTTGGTAAGTATGGATTGTGAAAAGATTCATGTAGCACAACCAAAAATGTGTTTATATGTGACGTTTCGATGACTAGTACGGTATGTACTCTGTCACCTTCATCAGACAAATGACCAGTGAAGCTTATGTACACAAAGGTGTAAAATGTGTAGGAGTTGTCCACACATCGATGTCGATTCGGCTACGCTGTAAGTGTATCTACAACTAGTTGTTATAATTGGACAGTTCTTAATCGAGATGAGGGGGCTCATAGACTCTCGCTTATCTGTGACCAAGCGTAGCTGAATCGGGTCATTTCGGTACATATATAACAACTAATTGTATATACGCTTACAGCGTAGCTGAATCGACATCGATTTTACACCTTAGGCTGATGAAGGTGACAGAGTACATACCGTACTAGTCATCGAAAGTTCACATATAAATACTTTTTTGTTGTGCTATATGAATCTTTTCACCATGAATTTTCATGTAATGTACTTTTGTTTGTATTTGCATCACTCAATGGCCTATGTGTTACTTAATATTCGGGTGATACCTGTGAATGAAGTTGCGATCGGTACTTGGATCTAGAGTAACTGATTAAATGTATTGTTTTATTGCAGTTATTTTCGTTGTATGAACTATGGACACATACCAACCTCCAATAGATGATATTTTCACTCACGAAAACGCACAAACTACCTCACCAATAAGGTTCGCCTTGCGGAAATTGTTTCAATGTAGCTGACTTACTTTGTTACCAATATTGCATGTTTGACATTTTGTTCACTCGTTCTTTGCACTCTTATGAATATTAGTCCTTCATTTACCGCATATTCATGAAAAAATGAAATAATATAATAGTTTTTATTTGCATGTGTTTAATTGTCGTTAATTAGTTTATAAGTGTACACACGATCTCCTAAAGGCAATGTTCCTGTGGTTCAACAGCTGTATAGACAATTTAGAATTTCAACATTTTTGCCCCAGTACGAAACAGCTGTACGATGCATGGTAATTCATTTTTGGTATAATGTATCTATTCCCAAATTTTGTGCAATATTCTTTGCACGAATCAGGAGAAAAATAAACAATAGTTTCAATATTTTACATATTTCACAGAAAATTGTATGCATGAGTAATGCAAACTTGTTTTTGAGACACCAGTTCAAAACAGTTGGGAACATGCCTTGCGTATCCTTCTGTGATAAACTCTCGGCGTTGCTCATGTGATCTGTGTTGTGACGTAATTTTGTGATGTTATTTTAAAATCAATGACGTCACGGCCATCGTGTATCTCTTTGTCATATCACATGACGATATACGCACAAATTCTACACGGAATATTTTGATTTCATATTTTGATATCATTATATATATTGTTATTCAATGCCTGTTGATTGTATACCTGTGCTAAATAAATTAAGTATTTGTATTTTAATGTGAGTTCATTGTAGTATTTGAAAAGTGTTCGGTTCATGCCAAAGTGTACTTATGCATTTGAGTCATTTGAGTCATGAGGCTACAGAAAGTTGTTTTTTTCCATTTTATATTTCAACCATTACTAAAATCGTACAAATAATACACCTATTAGTGCAATGTTTGATTCAAACTTTATAGAAAAAGATGATATATCACATTGAACGCTGTACGCGGGATAACTTTAAACAAAGTAGTGAACACTTTTACATTTTTTCAGCACGAAAAATTGGCTAACATTGTAGAGTATGGTGTAAATATTGCCAAAAAAAAAAAAAAAAAAAA